CAGAGAGCTGAGGGGGGGGGGATAATTTGCTCCAGCATGGAACAGTAAGTTCCCCAGTAGGCACATACATGTGCTATGTTTGTTTGCGTGTAAGCGAACAGTATCTCAACTATGATGCATAAATCCAATAACCAGTCTATTGTCCTCACTATCACGTGATGCATATCTATCGGTGATGATCATTGACTACATTTTTCCGACCATCAAACATTGCGTAAAAGGTCTGATTTGGATCACTGGACAGCTGTTTCGTCTTTACCAAACACTAATTTGAGGTGCACACCACTCTTTTGTCACATGCGAGATTCGAACCGCGAACGTTCGGGTCCGTAGTCAAAACGTACTCACACACACACACCACCTCTTCAGGAATTGTCCAAGATGCAAAGGAATATCATCGAAACGATACTGTTGTCGGCTTTCTAGCACATACAAAACTTTATGGTTTTTAGTTACACTCCTACAGAAAGTTCTAGATATCAATAGGATCCGCCTCGTTTGTAGGCAATCTCTTTCCGTGTTCAACTCTTCAAACCTCTTTTACACGTCAAGTGCTGCCCTAAACACGTGATTTTATTCAGCGTTAGAGCATCAATAAAAATCAGGGTGTGACAAGTTATTCATATAGGAGACCAGCGTGACATCTTTCTCTAATCAGTGACCTTTACCCAGGTGAGGTTGTTGTGAACAAGCAATTTTTTTCTGGAAGACACTCTTAAACGCACCTCGTCAAATATGAACTATGCTAAGTCACGGTGATGAACATTCGGTCCGTACAGTCTCATTCACTATCAATCCACCTCCCCATACTTTCGAGCTATACTGAACAATGGAAGAGTGCACACTCCATGATCGTTCACTTACCTCAAAGACATATTCTCCTTGAAAGATCGGTGCACAGTCATTCACATCCCCGACCAGAATTGTCACGGTGGCTGTGCTGCTCAACTGACGCGTTTTTCCGTGATCCGTTGCCTGGACGAGGAATTCGTATCGGTTCTGGCTTTCACGATCCAATTCACCGATCAAATGAAGTTCACCCATCGGAGAGACTGCGAACAGAGATTCCGGCCGAAATGACTCCGATTCATTTGAATTGGTTGGATTTGAGGAAGGGTGCAGCGGATGCAGACTGTAAACTAGTCGGGCATTTTCACCACTGTCCAAATCCATTGCTCGAACCGAACCAATCAGAACACCACGTTCAGCATCTTCGTAGACAGTGAATTCAAACTGGGCGGGACAATCGCGGTCCAGTTGTTGCTGTTGCCTCTCTACGGTGCCTAAATTTTGTAAGTAGGGTGAACAACGGGTGATAAACTGAGGAGCATTGTCGTTGATATCTTCCACATGAATGGTGATCAACCGGGTTGCAGTTAGCGCGGGTATGCCCTTGTCGACACATTCCAATAGAACTGTATAGACGGCGCCAGCTTCCCGATCAAACGCTATCTCTGGTCTCGAACCTAATCGGTAAACAGACCATCGACCTCGACGTGCAGTCAAATCGACCGATTCGTCACCAGCGGATTCATCATCCCGCAAGTGGGTAGCCTCGGATGGAGTTGAATCGTCTGCTGTCGGCCCGGTCACAACTTCCTTCAACTCCAAATAAGTAGTATCGTTGAGAAAACAAGTGAACTTCGAATTGGGAGATGTGACCAAATCAAAGTCACGCACTGTGATAAGTGAGATCAGATGGGATTGACCTGTCGACTCTTCCGGGATAGAGATATAATCCGTGTTTTGTATCTGTTGGTTAGGAAACAAAGTGAAAATAATGGTTACAGGTAGATGAATGAAGAGAGCCCCTATTGTTAAACAAAAACGATTTGCATTCATTCGCTTGCTGTTCAGCACGGTTCACCCTGTAGCTCCTTAATACGTCATCTCTTGTCGTACGTGGATAATATGTTTAAAGCTGTAAGAGTTTTGCTTTTAAGACCCGTGGGAATGCATTTGGACTGATTCCTGGAGAGTTGCTTCCTTCCGTCTGATTCCATCTGATTCCCATACAAAAAGATTGCTTTTCTTATGGGAAACAGTTTATGCACTGTCTTGCCCAAGTCCCCGAATGGTGAGTTCTTGGTTGTGCAATATCGTGTTTGCATACGGGCTCGGTTGATCAAATATACTGTCAATGTTATTGTTGTCTCATTCCATCCTCGTACTTCTGTCCTCTCTTTGTTATGATACTCGGTATCTCACAACGGATTTGGGCTCACAACCGTTCAAGTAAGCCCGTTAACCGTCGTAAGGGGAAACGCTTGGCAGTTTATCCCCGAGACATCTAGGCCACATTCACTGACAATCCACCTCTTAGTCGGGGAAAATGAGTTAAGTACATGGGCGTTAATGTTACTGGTTCTTTCATTTGGTCTGAAAGTATCAATTATATTTTCAGAAAAGTCAGAAGACCTTCCTTTGTCTCATGCCATTCGCCTAAATAATTTTCCGTTCCAACACATTCTCGGTACATACCAGCATTTCACCGCACTGACTGTGTACCTTCTCAGCGCTCTTTCCTGGCCTGATAGAAGAGAATATGTCTATGATATGAACAGCACTCATACGTTCATTCATGAATTGTGGTTTACCCCGGTGTTTTTATCGCCTACCAAGCCCTTGATAAGCCTACTCTTAAGATACTGTCTAACTCCTCGTGGTTCTACAATCTGGTTTCAGCTTGTTTTCCTTCCTCCAAGTGCAAACAGGGCCACAGAAACCAACAAATGTCTGCAACTCATCAGCCCATTTTGTATCTCGCTGGATTTTTAGATCTCTTGGACTGTAGTTTTTGTCATCTATTCATAGCACTAATTTGACGGATTTGATCAGATGATATCTCAATATGGACCTACTGGTGCAATAAATCAATCTCTTGAACTGGTTTGACTAGAAATCAGAGGCAGTGGTATTTTTCATGGAGAAATCCATGTGCATATGGATGAATACTTGGTATTTTATGCTAAGTCATTGAGTTGGTTGACGTGCATTGTTCCCATTCCGATCCTTGGCTTGTTATCAGTTTCCATTTCCATTTCATTTTCCATATATTATCCTAATCATCATCTCTATAAGCATCACCACCAACCAGTACTTCACACTATAATTCACCGGATTGTGAGACTTTACGGTATGCATCATACTCATTATCGTAGGATCTATGAGACAACATACGGGATCCAATGTGATCTGTTGCCTGTCTTCTATCCACAAACAACACGACGCTTCTGACGAAGTGTGACAGCCATCGAAGTTCACCAGTCAAGTACACATTGGTGAGATCACGCAGACGCGAGGGGAGTAAACTGTTGCCAAATAACTAATATTTCGTTCCATAATATTAAAGAAAATTATCTCGCGTTCCGCAGAGTAATTTATGCAATCATTGAATGTTTAATAGTTTAGTAGTTCTCCCCAACCAAGGGAATGTTCTATTTGAACTTGAACATGTATGTAGTAAAATTCGTCGTGTTCAGTGCCTCTTAGCCTTTCAGTTAACACGACAAAAGTCCTCGCATGGCAAATGAATGTCTTGATCCATCTAACCTGCTGTGCCAAGGGAGAGAGAGACAAAGCAAGATTGTTCCCTAATCTATGACACTCTTCTTGGATCCGAAAAAATCTTTAAACAAGTCTCAAAATAATCATTGTTACGTAAGAATGAAACCATTTCACCGGGATTTTTTAAAGTTCAAATGATTATTGATCCATCCTGTGTCAAGCGCACGTGATGTCAATTTGGAAAAGAACGCGCATCTATCAGATACCTAAATCCTTTTTTTCGTTAAACGGATCTATCTGGTATAATTCGTTGGGTAGATGATTTGGTGCGAATAGTAAAGAAATTTGTGGTTCTAATTTATGGCTGTGTATATTCTTTTGATTTATCACGTGGTGAATTTGGTCATGCACTACTACTGGACAGCAGCTGTTTCGACTTGGTTGGGCCTCTTGTCAGCACAGTGCGCGAATCCATCGAAACAACCGTGTATGGTCGTAAGGGAGATTCTTTTCCCCAAGATCATCATGTGCGTTTTTATGCAGTACATGTGTTGTAAATTATCCTATTGTTGTGAGATGCTATTCACTTGTGAGTAGTACGCAAAAGGATGCAATCAGCGGTTTCTTTCAACGACCAAAAATGAACCAGACTTGTTGTTGTCGCTATTCGCTACACAAGAATGCGGATCTGTTATTGGACCGTTACATGAGATATTTTGTTGTATGAATGACAATTTAACCATATGCTGAATGTTATGGGTAATAAACAATTATTCTCGACCGGCACCACCTTCTGGAGTTATAAAACCATGTACTACGCAAGTCAATCCAGGCCTAATGATAGTTTTTATGCACCCGAGTTCGAGTACATCGGATATATATGTATATATATTTAACACCGTCTTGCGGACAAGCATGGAGCCAAAGCCACAACAATAACAATAGCAATAACGGAGGGAGGTTGGGACACAGAACATAGTAAAAAAGACGGAACTGTTAAAATGGAAATTTATAAATAAATAGGATAACAATTATTTTGTGTTTCACAATACAATTTTTGAAATTTTTGTGTATTTATTTATTGTTTTTTTATGGAGCACGGGACTTTAACAGGTAGACCGTACAGCATCCGTGCCACTGACTTCTGTTCCGCGCCATATCTCTTAGCGTCTCTAGTCAACGACAATCCTCGGCCTTTGGACACCAAACTGGAAGGCAGGCTGTACCAACCGAGGCCAAAAATGAGGCCAGCTTCTTCATATCTCTACGCCTTGTCATGGTTCGACCGCCGCGGTACTTCTTCCAGTCTTGTCCAGCACGTGAGAAGAGAGCACGGAAAGGAAAAGGCTGGGCAGGCATACGCAATACGTGACCAAGCCATCGGAGGCGGTGTGGAGCTAATATTTCTATCATAGAACGACTATCCACACCCAACACACGACAACGAACCTCGTCATTGCTCACCCAATGTTCCCACCAGACACGAGCAATGTTTCGGAGAAATCGGTGGTCGAATACAGAAAGTCGATTAGCATCCTCAACGGGGAGGGGTCAGGTCTCGCAACCGTAAAGCAAAACGCTACGAACTGGGGTGATGTACACCCTTCCCTTAAGGGACAGTCAGATTTCATGTGTCGCCGGTTGGCGAAAGTTGCTCTAGCTTTCGCTCTATTCGTGATGTGATCTCCTACCCAACACCACCACCAGCTACCGCCTGACGAGACAGTTCACAGTATTCAGTGTTCACTGTTAGACACAATTGTTTTGAAGTAGTGCCCACAGGCAAAAATGCTTGTTTCCGACATCAAGAAATACACCAGCGTCACTGGTTCTGTATGTAGATTTTGGTGCCTAGAAATTTGGGTGAAATTCCTTAGGTTTTTGGGCAAGGAAACAATTGTGCACACTACCACTAATGGGGCGAAGACAGTATGTGTATCAAAATCTAGGTAATCCACTAACTTTCAGAGTCTGAGTGCGAAAACTGATAGCCCGACAACCAATAAATATAGACACTTTTGATGTATTCGCAACATGAAGAGTTATAGGAAAGGGTTATACTCAGTTATTTGCATTAGTCCCAACGAAGGGAATGACTGGTAACAGCGAGTAAATTGCGTGATAACAGGGGTATCTATGAATTTTAGAACATTTTGTTTTTCTCGAGGTAGATATGCAACATGTGAAAATGTTAGTCATACAGAATGGAAAATCATGAGAACAAATTGTATTGCGATGGGAAGTCCCAACCGCAACATCTTCAGCACACTTATAACCACTGGACTAGTCGGGTATTGATAGATAGTTATCGTATAGAACGAAAAGAACAGACTGGCTATCATTGAGAAGGTCACTTGAATTGTCAATTCTAGTCAATCAGAGCGTGAGCTGATTGAGTCCGCAGTAGCTAGCCTACTCCCTCAGTGTTCCGTTCTGCGGCAATTTTCCCAGTATGGCATGTGCAACAGTATAAGGGGTTGAAAAATGAGGTTTTTATGCAAATTTGCCAAGGTCAACAAACCCAAGCAGGCAGTTGAAAACCTTAAGAAGTATAGAAGTTAAGACAATCGGGTCTAATTTGGGTTGGAACTCCTTTGTGAATGGGTTAAATCTTGGCAAGTTATTGACAATCGGGCATGCTTTCAGCAGACGTCCATAAATTAAGCAGCTGAGCCACTCGTTCTGCAAACCTGTTGGCATACTCGTTTTGTAGTTCAGCAGAAACCGGAATCAGACAGAATGGTCTTGCTCACTTTAAAACAGTCAGGAACTCCACCGGATTCGTGATATGCTTAGATATTCGACCAAGGGGTAGTTGTGAAAAATTGGATTGACTCACGTCATCGAGGTCGCTGCACATTGATAATTGAAGGTCTTTCAGATCTGGACTGTGGCTTTTATGCGCACCTCAAAATGTGAACTAATGGGAAAGCATATCTTATAGATCCCTCCAGTCTCCTAGAACAGCGTTTACATATACATTGTTCTCAGTCAATGAATTTTATGCTACATAAAAGGATTTGGATGTGGATCAACACCTGCCCCCGCTCAGTTTGTGAATACCCGCTCCCTGTTCCAATGGAGACGGTAAAGAAGAATATGGTTAAACCGATCTTGCATACGCCGGATGGTTTCGAAGCGGAAACGGGCATCACAAGCAAGCCAGTTCAAGTTATTTTAAATGTGCTCACACTCAGACAGAGTTCAACTTTGAATAAAATAAACGAAGAAATGAGTTGAGAAAATTCGTGTTCCAGATCGTAATGACAATTTCAAATCTCCCGCGAAGAACTCTTTGAATGTTTTCTTGGAACCCCGAGTACAACAGTCCGCCGCGGTGAATTAGAAAGACGAAATTGCCAGCAGATCCAAAGGGGACTGTTCTGTGTGCCGAAAAAGATATAAAGATTGGTTAAAAAACAGAATTGGGGGCTGCGTGCCACAAGGGCAGTTATGTATCTGGTGGGTTATAAATGTTTGCCAAAAGGCACAGCGAAGTTGATTAGACAGGATGCTAATGGAGTATACGATGTTTGAATTGAAAAGAACAGCGTGAACATTTACACCAGTGTTGTCTGGTGACATTGGCCGTTCCACTGTCGGGGTGATCACGAAGTTCTCACTTCTGTAAGGATCATGGCGATCACTTTAAAATGCCTCACGGTGTACATTAGAATTTCGTTAGCTTTTCTAAAGCTAATTACCTCCCGCGATTCTCCAAAAACAGGTAGATGAAGTAGACTGATGATATTGCCAACAGTACTCGAGCACGAGTGGACATCAGCGGGATCTGTAGATAAAATGCTCATTTAGCTGACCGCACATCTCAGCGGGTGAACTGACAGCTAGCTCGGTGCCTGATAAGCCGTCGGAGAAACATTTACACCTGGCCCATGGAACGACTCCGCAGGATAGGAGCGAAAGCAGAGGAGTAAACTTTTCGCACGATAGAGTGACAGGATTTAAAAAAAAAACAATTATA